CGTAATACTTACCTCACAGGATTGTTAGGAGAGTTATGTCTGGTACATAATAGGTGCTCAACAAATTCATCTATTATTTTAACTGTTATTAAATAATAAGAATGGTAATTATGTTTTATCTATAGATATAAGTATATGAGTAATCAATATAAAAATAAAGACATTTTATTTATTGTAAAAAATAATAAAATAATAATGCTTCTCATGGTTATCGTTACCATGATTATTAAATGTCCTTTAGTCTGAGGCTGGTTAACATGACGCCTGCAGCCTGTGGACTGGTTTCGCAGCTCCTGCAAAGAATGGGGTTGATGTGTGTGCGGTTAGATTGGGAAACAGTTCTAAGATGCATTAAGGGGAAATGATGAAGAAATGAAACAGTGTGTGATTAAAGCTCTCATTTCTGTGTAAAATGTTAAGAAGGAAATGCCACAGACTGATAATGTTGCTTATGCGCAGAAAGTTTCCTGGGCTGTAATCAGCAGCAGCCGGGCAGAGCGGGTTCTGGGAGGGGAGAGAGCGTGTGTGTAGATGGCGATAACAGCAGCCAACGTGTAATGCTCCTCGCAGCCCAGTGCTGTGGTCGCCCTTTGCTCCTGTTAACTTGTTGTATTCTTACGACACCCTGCAAGGTAAGTGTGTGATTATTCCCATTTGTAGACGAGGAAACTGAGGTACAGACAGGTTAGGTGACTTGCCCATGGCCACAGAGCTGGTAGGAGTTTTGAGTTTTTAAATCCTGTGCACGTTTACCCCAGGGTGCCAAACTCCAAACACACAAAAAAAGTGGCTTGGCCTCTTAACTACTACCTGGCAGGGTGGAAAGGCCGGAGGGGACTGCCCCAACTTCCTCTCTGTCCTTCCTGTTGTGTCAGCACCAGCTGGAGCTCTGGGCAGTGCTAGCCAACCCATGAGAGTCAGCAGAGAGCAGCAGGGCCAGGTTACTCTGACATTGTGTGGGGCAGGGACTCTTAGGTCCTGTCCTACTCAAACCGCAGCCCAGTGCTGTGGTCGCCCTTTGCTCCTGTTAACTTGTTGTGTTCTTACGACACCCTGCAAGGTAAGTGTGTGATTATTCCCATTTGTAGACGAGGAAACTGAGGTACAGACACGTTAGGTGACTTGCCCATGGCCACAGAGCTGGTAGGAGTTTTGAGTTTTTAAATCCTGTGCACGTTTACCCCAGGGTGCCAAACTCCAAACACACAAAAAAAGTGGCTTGGCCTCTTAACTGCTACCTGGGAGGGTGGAAAGGCCGGAGGGGACTGCCCCAACTTCCTCTCTGTCCTTCCTGTTGTGTCAACACCAGCTGGAGCTCTGGGCAGTGCTAGCCAACCCATGAGAGTCAGCAGAGAGCTGCAGGGCCAGGTTACTCTGACATTGTGTGGGGCAGGGACTCTTAGGTCCTGTCCTACTCAAAGCTCTGTCTGAGCACTTGTTTGGTGCGACATGCTTTACACGTATTAACTCCTCAAGGCCTCTCCAAACCAGTGAGGTAGGTTCACCTCCATGAGTTGCATTTCTCAGATGAGGAAACTGAGAGAGTCAACTGCAACTGTCACCGAGGGTCATGGAGCACCTGGCTGTACTGCCTTCCAACTCTCCAGAGTCGAAGATTTGGGGATGAAAATATTCTAGAGCATGGGGTTCCAGAGTAGGCCTAACACTGTTTGAAACTCAACTGTGTTACCTACTTATCTGAGTGATCTTAGGTGGGTTACTTAACTTCTCTGGGCCTCTGTTACTTCATCTGTAAAATGGCTATAATACAATCAAAATCAGAAGGTTATTATAAGGATTAAGTGATATTATGTTCAAAGCTGCTTGGAGCAATGCCTGGCACATAACATGCCAACCCAACCTCCTTGCTATTCCTTGAACGTGACCATCATGTTCCCACCTTGGAGCCTTTGCACGGGCTATTCTCTCTGCCGTTATGTTCAAAGCTGCTTGGAGCAATGCCTGGCACATAACATGCCAACCCAACCTCCTTGCTGTTCCTTGAACGTGACCATCATGTTCCCACCTTGGAGCCTTTGCACGGGCTATTCTCTCTGCCTGGAACACTCTTCCCCCAGATCTCCACATGGCTCCCTCCCTCAATTCCTTTAGGTTTTTGTGCAAATGTCACCTTCTCAGAGAAGCCTTCCCTGAGCACTCATGTGAAATTCCCACATGGCCAGCTTCCCTCTGTGATTTTTTTCCATGGCATTTATCACCTTCCAAAGTACTATGTATTTTGCTTAATTATTTCTTTACTGTCTGACTTTTCTCATGAAATGTCAGCTTCCAGGGGAAAGTGATTTTTATCTGTCTTGTCTCCTCCTGTGTCTCAGTGCCTAGAATAGCATGTGGAACAGAAAAGGGGCTCAGGAACTGTGCTGAATGAATGAATGAATGAACAAATGAATCGTAGAGAATTCAACATGTTGTATTTTCTCTTTTCTAACTCTAGTATCCCATTTTTAAATTGCTCTAATAAGATTCTAGGAATGTTTTGCTTCTCGATCTGGGTGCTATTTATACAGATGGGTTCAGGTATGAATCCCAGCAAGCTGTACCTCTGTGATGTGTACACTTTGCTGTCCACATATTTTACTATAATCTTGTTTATATTAAAAAAGGTTAAAAATTGCTCCAGAGGCACATTTTCATTGCACCAAGATTAGAAAAAACAGGATGAGGAAGAACCAAGACAAGTACTTTTGCTATGAATACACGTTAACCTTTTACCCTCTTGATAGATATTCTGATTCCAACATTTTAAATTCTAGAACTCCAGGTAGCTAATGGGCTGGTGTTCTAACATTTTGGTGCTCTAGAATTTCACTGTCCAATAAGGTAGCCATTAATCACAGGTAGACAAACCAAGTAAAATTAAGTAAAAGTAAAAATTCAGTTCCTTAGTTTCTCAGTAGCCACATGTGGCTGACAACTAGGGCATTGGATATAGAACATTTCCATCAACGTTGCAAGTTCTACTGGACAGTGCAGCTCTGTAATAACAAATAATAATTGGTTCTAATAGTTTATTATTTTGGAATTCCAAGATTTTTATCTAGAGTTTTTATGCTAGAGTTCTAACATTGTGGTTTTCTAGAATTCCGAGCTGGGGTTCTAACACTCTGGCATTCTAGAATTACAATATTCTACATTCTAAATATATACATGCTGAAGGTCTAAAGATGCAATATTTTGGAATTCAAGATGCAAATGAGATGGGGCTCTAAAATTTTTAGCAAGTCTGCAATTCCAATATTCTGACATGTTGGAGTCCTAAGATTGTAATATTCTAGAACTCCAAGATGCAAATGAGCTAGCCTTCTAACATTTCAAGCACTAGAGCTCTATGGTTGTAATATTCTAGTTTCCAAGATGCTGATGGTCTGGGCTTTCTACACCCTAGGATTACAAGCACCTTAGAGTTTTCTTCACTGAGATTTCACAGCATTTCTCTTCTGTTCAGGTGTCTGGGGCTGGATGGAGAACGCTTCCTTCAGCTACGAGTACGGGGATTACAGCGACATCCCAGATCTCCCTGTGGACTGCTCAGATGGCGCCTGCCTCTCCATCGACCCCCTCCGTGTGGCCCCACTCCTGCTGTATGCAGCTGTCTTCCTGGTGGGGGTGCCAGGCAACACCATGGTGGCCTGGGTGACTGGGAAGGAGGCCCACCAGAGGGTGGGTGCCATCTGGTTCCTCCACCTGGCTGTGGCGGATTTGCTCTGCTGTTTGTCCCTCCCCATCCTGGCTGTGCCCATTGCCTGTGGGGGACACTGGCCCTACGGAGCAGTAGGTTGTCGGGTGCTGCCCTCGGCCATCCTGCTGTCCATGTACACTGGCGTCCTGCTCCTGGCTGCTTTCAGCGCTGACCTTTGCCTGCTGGCCCTCAGTCCGACTTGGTGGGCTTCAGCTGGGCGGGCACGTAGAGTGCAGGTGGCCTGTGGGGCAGCTTGGGCTTTGGCCCTGCTGCTGACCATGCCCTCTGCCATCTACCGCCGGCTGCACCAGGAGCACTTCCCATCCCAGCTGGAGTGTGTGGTGGACTATGGAGGCTCGGCCAGGGCTGAGAACACAGTGACTGCCACTCGGTTTATTTTTGGCTTCCTGGGACCACTGGTGGTTGTGGCCAGCTGCCATGGTGTCCTCCTGTGCCGAGCGACCCGCCGCCACTGGCCACTGGGCACGGCCATCATAGTGGCTTTTTTTGTCTGCTGGGCCCCCTATCACATGCTGAGACTGGTACTGTCTGCAGCTGCCCCCAACTCTGTGCTCCTGTCCAGGGCCCTGAGGGCTGAACCCCTGGTTGTGGGCCTTGCCCTTGCTCACAGCTGCCTCAATCCCATGCTCTTCATGTATTTTGGGCGGGCTCAACTTCGCAGGTCACTGCCAGCTGCGTGTCACTGGGCCCTGAGGGAGTCCCAGAGCAAAGATGAAAGCGTGGTCAGCAAGAAATCCACCAGCCATGACCTGGTCTCAGAGAATGAGGTATAGGCTAGAGGGACACTGGTTTGTTTCCTCCTATCCCATTTCACTAGCTTCAGGCACAGCTGGATCCGGGGGCTCAATGATATCTTCATTTTATTCCTTTATTCCTTTAACAAACATCCATTATGCACCTGCTATGTGCAAGGCCCTGTTATAGGCATTGCTGGTATAGCAGTGACCAAAAGAGACACAAACCCTGCCTTTAGGGAGCTGACATTCTAGTGAAGGAAGACAGACAATAAGCAAACAAACACAGGAATATGGAATCTGTCAAGTGGTGATAGGTGCTAAGAAACCTCAGGGGACAAAGAGAGCTGGGTGAGGCAGCGGTATAGTTTAGCCAGGCATGGCCCCTTGGGTAAGGTGATATTTGAGCCAAATCCTGAAGAAGGGAGAGGAAGTCATGCTAAAATCTAGGTGAAAACATTCCCAGGAGAGAGAACAGCAAGTGCAAAGGTCCTGAGGCAAGATGTACCCGGCATATTCCGGGAACTGTGAAGAGGCCAGTGTAGATGGAGCAGCGTGAGTGAGGGGGAGAGCATAAAGGGAGATGAAGGGAGAGAGGTAACGGGAGGCCAGAGTCTGAAGTCTCCTAGGCCATAGCAAGTGTTTGGGGATTCAGGGAGAGTTCTGAGCTACGATTACCAGATAAAATGCAAGACTCCCAATTAAATTTGAGTTTCAAGGGCCGGCCCGTGGCTCACTTGGGAGAGCGTGGTGCTAACACCACCAAGTCAAGGGTTTAGATCCCCTTGCTGGTCATCTTTAAAAAAAAAATTTTTTTTTGAGTTTCAGATAAACAACAACAAATTTTTTTTAGTATAAGTCTGTTCCATACAATATTTGGGACAGACTTATACTGAAAACTATTTATTGTTTATCTGAAATTCAAACTTAACTGCACATTCTGTAATTTTTGTGTGTGTTTGCTAAATCAGGCAACTCTATTCTGAGCGGGGGAGTGTCTTTATGTGACTTAGATTCTAATAGGATCCCTCTGGTTGCTGGTGGAGATTAGACTATGGTGGGGGGGAGGGAAGTGAGGAGGCTACTGCAATAGTCCAAGCACGATGATAGTGGCTTGGATCAGGGTCATACAGCACAGGTGGTGAGAGGTTAACAGATTAGGAACCTATTTTGAAGGTAAGGCCATGTCTAGACTCCTTAGTTTAGCATTCAATGCTTCTCTCCACTGCTGAACACACTTATTCTCTAGCTTCTCAGACCCTGTAACAGGCAGAATAATGGCTCCCAATGATGTCCACATCCTAATCCCCTGAACCTGTGAATATGTGACCTTACATGGCAGATGTGATTAAGTTAAGGATCTTGAGATGAGGAGATGATCCTGGAGTGTCCAGGTGGGCCCAGTGTAATCACAAGGGTCCTTTTCAGAGGGAAGCAGAAGGGTCTGAGTCAGTAGTAGGAGATGCAATGACAGGCACAGGTCAGAGTGATGTGAGACAGGGACCATGGGCCAGGGAATGCAGGTGACCTCCAGAAGCTGAAAAAGGCAAGGAAACAGATTCTCTCCCAAGCCCCCAGAAGGAACACAGACCTGGGAACGTTCAAGTATATTTCTGTGCAATTTTACATAAAATTCCCTTGGTCATTAAAAAGAATGTTTTTTGTTTGTTGTAACTCTCCATTTTTTGTTCTTAAGTTTGCATATTTGTGTCATTTGTTTCTGTCTAATTTTTACCATAAAAATATTGATTTCCTGGAGTTTCCAAAGAAAGGTCTTAATATTTTTTTCTAAGAACTAGTCTCAAGTTTGTTACTCAATCCTACATTGGCAGGTTGTGGCTTTCTTTGATTTCATATTTGTTGTTTACCTCCTGCCATTTTCCTCTTTTAAAAGTTCTAGTTTTTGATTGGAAATTTTAAGAAGAATACTTAGTTCTTTTGTTCCCCTCCTTCTTTTGATAATAATGTATGAATTGGCCTCTCTGAGTTGTTTCCCAAAGGTTTGATAATTATATCCAACTTTCCACTTGACATGTCCAATATATAATTTAAACTTAATATGCTCAAAACAGAACACTGGATTTTATCTCTCAGCCCTCCTCCTACATCTTGATTTCAGTGGGTGGCAACTCCATAATTCCAGGTACTCAGGCCAAAAACTTTAGGGTCATCTTTCAGGTCTCACTTTCTTTCACATTCCATTGCCAATCTATCAGCCAATCCCTCTGTGTTCTACCTTCAAAATATCTTCAGAATCCAACTGGAGCCATCTACTTTGACATTACCCTGGTCCAGCCATTACCATTTCTCATCTATTGTAGTGGCCTCTTCCCTGCTTACCTTTTCTCGTCTTGGTTCCCTACTGTCTGTTCCCCACATGGGAGCCAGAGAATCCTGTTAAAATCTAAGTCGGATCATGTCTCATTTTCCTCCTCTGCTCAAACTCTTCTCATGGCTCCCACCTCACTCAGATTAGAAGCCAAAGTCTTTGCCATGGTATATATGATCTATCCTCCTCCTCTCCCCACCTCATTCCTTACTATTTCTCCCTCCCTCCCTCCAGCCACACAAGCCTATGTGATGTTCCTTGAAGTCACCAAGATCGTTCTCATCTCAGTTTTTATATTTGCAGTTTCTTCTACCTAGAATGAGCCCCCCGCCCCAAGGTATCCCTATGGCTCACTGCCTCACTTTTTTCAGCTCTCTGCTGAACTGCAAATTTAATGAAGATGTCTTCTTTGACCATGCCACTTAATTTTTTTAATTAACATTTTTTCCCTAAGCCCTGAATTCGAATCTCATGACCACGCTACTTAAGACAGCATCACTCTATATGCCCCTTTCCTGCTTTGTTTGATCCATATAGCAGGAAGTACTGCTCAACATCCTATTTATTTTTCTTTTTGTGTCACTAAGATGCGAGCTCTCAAGATCAGGGACTTTACCTGCTTTGTTCACTGCTGTATGTCCAGTGCTTAGAACCAATTCCAGACATGCAGGATGTATCCTCTAAAGGGCAATGTTACCCTAAGGAAATAGAATGATAGGAAGGCGATAATAATAACAAAAATCTAACATTTACTGAGCACTTATATGTACAGCACAGTTTATGTACCTTATGTATACGAGTACTTTTTAATTTATTTTTCCCAACAATCTTGAAAAGTAGGTATTATCCTGTTATAAATGGGGAAATTGAGGCTAAATCCCACACGACTGGCACGTCTAGGACTGCAGAGGACTCATTTTTCTCATTCATTTAGTCGTTCACTCAACAGACATTTACCAACCATCTACTCTGCGTCAGGCTCTGGGGAACACAAGACGTCCAGGACAGAAACGGACCCTACCTTCAGGGAGCTTGGGGTTGGGTTGGATTATTTATTAGTTAATTATACATTAACAGAGTGATCATGAGACTGCTTTAATAGTTCCTGGGCCCGAGCCAGCTCACTCGTTGGCTTAAAACTCCGGCTTCCCGGCGACCCTGGGGAGCAGGTGGTTGCGCATAAGGAGTGAGTACGGGGACGGGATGAGGAGCAAGCGCTTGCAAGTCCCTGCCGCGACGCTTCCACCCGCCCCTAAAGGACGCAGGGCCACCAGAGGCCACGCCCAAAACGAGGCGGGGCGTGAGCGTGCTGTGCGCAGACGCGAGGTGGGTCTTGGGCCGCCCGCAACTCCGGACTGGCTCCGCTGTCTGGGGAGGGGCGGGGTCGATGCGTGAGGGCAGCGTGCGCAGGCGCAGGACTGGTTGGGCGCGCGAGGGTCGCCCGGGACCGGAAGTTGAGGCGTTCGCGGCAGTTAGTGAGGTGAGGGGGATGGGGCGGTTGCGGATGGTGGCTGCGTTGGCGGCGGTCGGAGTCCGAGCCTGTCGGGGGTAGCTGGGGAGAGTGTCAGGGGCGAGGAAAATCCCGAGATGAGGAGAAATCTGGGAGGAAGCCGAAGGATGGGCAGGAGCGGAAGGAGATGGAGCCTGAGCGTCTCTGAGAGAACCTGGGGGGCAGAGGACCGAGATTGAAAGAAGTGGAGGCACGGAAAGAAGCTTCGAGAAACTGAGGGAACGAAAGAGGGTTGGGGGTGTTGAGAGAAGAGGGAAGCAGAAAACTAGAGAGATCGAGGACGCAAGGCTGATGGGTTTCACCGAGAGGCTCACAGAGTTTGAGGCTGAGAGAGATGTGGTCGCTCCATGAACTCAGGAGGTGGAGGAAAACGTAGAAAAATTAGAGGGGGCGGTAGGGAGCAGAAATAGACTGAAGAGGGGAACGGTTTAAGTGGAGGAACAAGACACTGAATCATGAGGAGAGACCGGTAGATATGGAAAGATGGAGACTGAAATAGGGAGAACCCGACGAAAACTGGAGACGATGGAGAAGGGAGGAAATGGATTCTAAATCCCTAGGTTTTAATTCCTCATTTGCCTTTTATTCCTTCCTTCTCTGTGGCTGAGTAAAATAGGGGGTGATAATAGCACTTTCTTAGGGTTGTGAGAAAAGTGTGTGTATGTGTGCATATATATGTGATTTAGAATATGTATATGTGATAATAAAAGTAAGCAGTAAGTGTTAACTACTGTTAAAGTTTCGGACAATTGGGAGACAAAGTATGAGATGGAGAAATGGAAAGGACGAGAAGGTGATGAAGAGTGAACCCTGGTGGGAGGCAAAAATGGAGAACCAGAAAAAAAGATTCAAACAGAAAATGAGATAGATGGAGAAAGTCAAGTGGGGAACTGAATAGGGATGGAGAAAGAGACAGTTGGATTACAGAGAAAATCAGAGTAAAAAACAGAAACATGAAGAGAGATGTGATCAGACTAGGAAAGGGAAGAGAGATGAGGGTGGTGAGCAAGATAGACTGGAAAAGAGACTGAGGCCTAAAGATGGTGAGAGGAAAACAGAGACCAACTAAAGGCCATGAGCCTAGGAGAAATAGGCCAAGAGACCGGGAGATGGCTAGAAACACAGGTGTAGGGAAACTTCAAGATCCAGACAATCTAGACGCCTAAGAGAGTAGACCAGTAGACTGTTTGAGGGCTTGGGGATGCTCTCAGTTGGGCCCAGCATACGTAGTTTATATCCTGAGAGGACTGCTTTCCTTTTCCTTACCCTGTTGCTTTTCTGAGAAACTCTGGCTCAGTATCACAGTCGCCATCCAAGGCCTTCTCATCTTCCCTCAAAACAGGAATTTTATATATATGTGTGGTTTTTTTTTGGCGGTTGGCTGGTATGGGAAATAATTTATTCTGAAGGAGCCCTAGCATCACTCAGGCCACGTGTTCAGCAAGAAGTGATGCACACTCCCCACAGGCTGTTGTTGCTGTGGGAAACAACTCTACCAGTTCACAAGTTCTTTTCACTGGGAGTCCGTATCTGGCTCTAACTCCCAGAGTTGGCCTGAGTTTTTTCCCCTGGGACTGCAGAGGTCAGTCTCTGAAATCTGTTCCATGATGGCTCTTGAGAGGTCGAAGGCAGAGCACGTGAAAGCATTGCTAATGCACTGTAATGAAGGTGATTTGTGGCCTTTTTACTCTAATTTTTTCCAGGTTGTTTGACCCTGGTTCTCACTGTTTTCCTCGTGTTGGTCATCTCTGTCATTGTGGGGGAAAAGCACTGAACTTGAATACCAGTTACTACTTAGCTTCTCTGTATCAGGGTAGGTGATAAACATTGCAATGTTTTGGGATGGATATTGTCCCCATATTATAGATGAAGAAAACCGCCTCAAAGTTGTTAATTTGCTGATGGTCACACACCTAGTAAATGATAAAGTTGAGATTCAAACCCAGATCTGACTGACTCCAAAGCCTTTACCAAGGAAGGCTCTGAACACTTTTAAGACTATGAACTCCTTTAAAAATCTGAATGATGAACTTCCCTCCAAGAAATTGCACATATGAGGGTATGCTCTTTATTAGGACATTTTCAGCCCACAGTCAAAAACCCAGCTTTAAGCAAAAATGGCGTTTTCTTGTGTAGTGGAGAAGTGGAGGGTTGAAGGGAACTAAGCCTCAAGCACTAAATGATGTTGCCAAGCTCCTCCTCTCCTTTCACCTCCATTTCTCCTCTCTCCCTGTAGTTGCACAGTGACCATTCTTGTTCATGGCTGTGTGTCTATATGCAGACTTTCCTCTAGGATAGATTTCTAGGAAAGACTATCATGTCCCAGGCCTACTGCAAATAGCTCCAGGTTTATATCAAGCTTGCTTAGTCATAGTAGATAAAATGAGAGCTTTTCTCTTAGTAACCAAGTGTAAATTCCAGAGAAGGGCTGTGGTTAGCCCTGCTTGGGTCTTGTTATCTACTCCTCAGTCCAATTGCCTAGGTTAAAGGGGGAGTAGAATGCCATGATTGGCCAGGCTTTTGTCACTTGCCTAACCAATAAGGGTTCTCTGATTTAAAGGATGTCAGAACCCTGTGGGATTGAGGAAGGGACTGTTCTCCAAAGGGGGGTTGATACTGTTATCAGAGAGAGGGGAAAGGAATGTGTCATGTAGGCAAATATAATACATACATAACACATGAATTTTTTTTCCCCTCAGCTGGCCGGTGCAGGGATCAAACCCAATACCTTGGTGTTATTAGTGCTACGCTCTAACCAACTAGGCTAACTGGCCAGCCCAGCACTTGGAAAATTTTACGTTTAATTTAAAAGGGTTTCTGGTGTCCTGAAGCTCAGCGGACCCCCAATTAAGAACCCTTGCCTTATTCTTTTCATTATATCACAGCCCTCTCATGTTATTAGCTCTCACAACAAGGTTCTTGGCTGATCTCTGTTGATCAGCCATGTGACCTACATCTTTCCTTTAGGTCTAAGGTCAAATATCCACTCCTCTGGGATCCTTCCCTGACTTCTAAGCCTGGCCAGGCACCTCTTTGGGCTCCCGTGGCTCCCTGGGCATCTTTTATCACAACCCTAATCACTGGATTATCACAGTCTGGTGAAGCGTGTGTCTCTTATGTGACCATGGCTGTCTGTGAGGGCTCAGGTAGTCTTATACATGACCTCCTTTTCCTAGTCCAGTACTTGAGAAACAGCAGGCTTTTATTAAATGTTTCTAAAAATCAATGAATGTCTTCTATTTTCTTCCCCAAGCATTCAGGGCCTGAAAACCCAGGACGAACTTGTATCCATCTCAGAGATTCCTGCAGGAGTCATGAGGTGCCCTATGTGTCACCAACTCAACCACGTGCCTGGCCAATTATTTTGTCATTTGTGCTGGTCCTGTACCATGAACAAAGAGAAAAATTAGCTCTTTGAAGAGAAAGTGGTTCCTTATTGCAGGCACTGGTCTCTTACTGCTGGAGGTAGGAAATGGATGAGAATATTTGATCTGGGTGATCGGAACTGAGGCCAATTTTATGACAGCATTGTGATTAGCAACATGCCTTTTCCCAGAACAAGGGAGGGCAGGGATCACCGAGACCACCACCAAGCTCCCAGTGAGGAAGAGGTCCTGGAGAAATGGGACTGGAATTGTCCAGAGACCCGTCGTCTCTTGGAGGATGCCTTCTTCCGTGATGAGGATTATATCCGCCAAGGTTCTGAGGAATGCCAGAAGTTCTGGATCTTTTTTGAACGCCTGCAGAGATTCCAGAATCTCAAGACCTCCAGGAAGGAGGATAAAGACCCTGGGCATCCCAAGCACAGCATTCCAGCACTAGCCAACCTACCAAGTGCTTACGACCCTCGTTATCGCATCAACCTCTCTGTACTTGGCCCTGACACATGGAGCTCTCGAGGGATAGGCAGACGCTTGCCCATGGAGAGAATGTCTGAGTTCCGCAGAGCCATGTTGCACTACCTGGACTTTGGCCAGAAGCAGGCTTTTGGGCGGTTGGCCAAACTGCAGCGTGAGCGGGCAGCACTCCCCATTGCCCAGTATGGGAACCGCATCCTGCAGATGCTGAAGGATCACCAGGTGGTAGTGGTGGCTGGTGACACGGGCTGTGGCAAGTCCACTCAGGTGCCCCAGTACCTGCTGGCCGCTGGCTTCAGTCATGTGGCTTGCACTCAGCCTCGGCGAATTGCCTGCATCTCGCTGGCCAAGCGTGTTGGCTTTGAGAGCCTCAGTCAATATGGCTCCCAGGTGAGTGGCACATAACTGGTTTCCAAGTTTTCCAGTGTGACCCTGGAGAATAAGTTGCTTGTCCACGTGGCAGTGTCAGTAAAAGTTAAGCATATACCCTTTGACCCAGTGATGATTCTTCTAGAACTTTGGCACTGGCATTACTCAGTATAGCACTTTAACAGCAAAAAAATTGGAAATGTCCTCAATGCTCATCAATCTTTTCTGAGCAGCCATAAAAAGAATTATTAAGGACACTTCCTTAATAATTTCTAGGATTCTAATCCTGGCTCTACCACTTAAAAGTTTTTGTTGTTGTTGAAGTTATAATGCTCTAAGCACAGAAGAGTGCACACATACAATAAGTATATGGGCTCAGTGAGTTTTCACAAATTGAATACATTTATGTAACCAGCAACCAGATTAAAAAAAAAAAAGTCAAACATACCACACCCACAAACTCTCTTGTTTTCCTTTCTAGTTATTATCTTGAGCTTGAGGCCCCAAGGGTTATCACTATTCTTGGTAATAGCTGATTGTATTAGTGATAGGTTATCATCACACCTTAGTTAATGGTAGACTATCATAGATTATTTTTGCTCCTCTTTTTTTTTCTTACTTTTATAAATGGAATCTTGCATTCTCTTTTGTGGCTTTTGTTGCTCACCATTAGGTGTGTGAGATTCATCTGTAGTGAGTGTGTAGGTGTACCTCATTCATTCTCACTGCTGTACAGTATTTCATTATGAAGGTACCACAGTGCATTTATCTTTTCTGTTGATGCAAATTTGTGGGATTTCCAGTTTTAAGCTTTTGTGAATGGTGCTGCTATGAACATTGTAGACACGTCTTTTAGTGTCTTTTGGTATGTATTTCTATTGGGTATATATCTGGGAGTAGAATCATTAGATGTGCATGTATATTTAACTTTAGTAGATACTTCCAAACCATTCTGCAAATAGTCGTACTGGTTTATACTCCTACCAGCAGTATGTTCCACATTGTCACCAATACCTGGTACAGTTAGTCTTTTTCATTTTAGCTTTTCTGGTGGATGTGTAGTGCTATCACACTTGCATTTGCATTGGGTTTCAATTTGCAGTTCCCTGATGACAAAGGACCTTTTCACATATTTATCGGCCATTTGGAGATCCTCTTTTGTGAAACGGCTGTTCACATCTTTTTCCCATTTGTCTTTTACATTTTTCTTGATTTGTAGCTCTTCAAAGATTCTAGATATGGGTCCTTTGTAGGATTTGTATACTGCAAATCTTGTCTCCTCTGCTGTGAGTTGTCTTTCATTCTCTTAATGATGTCTTTTGATATGGTGTCTTCTCATGTTAGTATAATCCAGTTTGTCATTTTCTTTTTATGGTTAGCACGTGACACACTGGAGAGTGCACTGCTTGGGAGCGCGGGGTGGCGCTCCCGCCGAGGGTTCGGATCCCATGTGGAGACCGGTTCCCGCTCACTGGCTGAGTGCGGTGCGGTCGCAACACCGAGGGTTGCGATCCCGTTGCTGGTCCCCGGTATGGGCGCGACACCGAGGGTTGCGATCCCGTTACCGGTCAGTAAAAAAGACAAAAAAAGGAAAAAAAAAAAAAATAGAAATCTACTTTAAGGTCATGAAGATGTTCTACTATGTTTTTTCCTAAAAACTTGTACCTTTAAAACTGTAATTCATTCGGAATTGATTGTGTGTGTGTATGGTGTGAAATAGGGTTAAGATACATTTCCTCTCAATACCTCTTTTTAGCTCTGTTACCTTGGATGAGTGACTTCAGTTTCCTTATTGGTGAGATGGGGATAATAATAGTTCTTACATTGTGTGGTGGTTTTGAGGATGAAGTGAATTGATATTCATAAAGCATTTAGAGTAGTTTCTGGCATATAGTAAGGACTCAAACAACAGTTAATTATTACTATTATAGTTAACTGATATCACATACCAGGCACTGTGTCAGATACTTTATGTGCATTATCACCTGAAATTTTCACAACATGTGGGAGAAAAAATTATGACTTTAAGCGATGGCATGGCTTGCCCAAGGTCAACAGCACTAAATGGCAGAGGTGAGATTCAAACCCAAGTCTGTTGGATTCCAGAGTCTGATGCATAGGCATGGCATTTGCTCAGATTTTCAATTTTGGCAAGGTGGGGGGCTGGTGGCCAGGCCCAGGGTCCTCTCTTGACCACACCTTCCTCCCTCCCACCCCAGGTTGGCTACCAGATCCGCTTTGAGAGCACACGCTCAGCAGCCACTAAGATTGTGTTCCTGACAGTGGGGCTGCTCCTACGGCAAATCCAGCGGGAGCCCACTCTGCCTCAGTATGAAGTCCTGATCGTGGATGAAGTCCATGAGCGGCACCTCCACAATGACTTCCTCCTGGGCGTCCTCCGGCGCCTGCTGCCCAAGCGGCCTGACCTGAAGGTCATCCTCATGTCGGCCACCATCAACATCTCACTCTTCTCCAGCTACTTCGGTAATGCCCCTGTGGTGCAGGTGCCAGGGAGGCTATTTCCCATCACAGTGAGTACTTCCCCCTTCTGCCACATCCCCAGACCTCCCGTCTAGTCTCTGGCCATAAAAGGCCCCGTGGACATGTCTCTTCTCTCTGCTGCTCTATTTCCCATCTCTTCAGTTAAGGACATTCTCTCTCTTTTTTAAGCTGCTGTTTTCTGAGAATTTACAGTGTGCTGGTTGAGTGCTAAGTGCATGTTGGAGTAAGAGGTAGACTGCTGTAACAGAGAGACCCAAAATTATAAAGGCTCAAATAAGGTAGAAGTTTCTTTCTCTTATAAGACAGTCTGGCCGGTCCAGGTTGGGGGCAGCTCTGTTCCCTGTGGTCATTCAGGGATGTAGCCTCCTTTCTTATTGCTCTACCATCTCATAGGGCAGGATTTCTCTAAGTCAGCAATACTGACATTTTGTGCTGGATAATTCTTTGTGGTGGGGGCTGTCCTGTATGTTGTAGGATATTTAGCAGCATCCGTGGCCTCTACCCCCTAGATGCTAGTAGCATTCTCCTCTCCCAACTGTGACAACCAAAAATCTCTCCAGATGTTGCCACATGTCCCCTGGGGGACAAAACCACCCCCGATTGAGCACCACTGTCCTAGAGTTGTTTTTGTCTGTAGAGTCAAAGCTTCATTGTCCCTTGTGGTTTCTGGTTCTAAATGTTCATGAATCTGTGTTCCAAGCAGTCATAAAAAAAAGAATGAGGGGCCGGCCCAGTGGCGCACTGGAGAGTGCGCCGCGTGGGAGTGTGGCAGCGCTCCCGCCAAGGGTTCGGATCCCATGTGGAGACCGGTTCCCGCTCACTGGCTGAGCGCGGTGCGGGCGCAACACCGAGGGTTGCGATCCCGTTACCGGTCAGTAAAAAAGACAAAAAGGTAAAAAAAAAAAAAAGAATGAGGATGCTTCCTAAGAAATGCTTTTTAAAGTTTAATCCTGATTCTGCCATTTAGAATTTTTTTTCTTGTTTAAGTTATCGTACTCTAAATACAAAGAATACATATATCTTACGTGTATAGCTCAAGCAATTTTCACAAATTAAGTACATTTATGTAGGGCTGGCCAGCTAGCTCAGTTGGTTAGAGCAAGGTGTCATGACACCAAGGTCAAGGGTGTGGATTCCTCTACTGGCCAGCCACCAAAAAACCAAAAAACAAAGAATACATTTATGTAGCCAGCCCCCAGATTTAAAAAATTAAACGTTACTACCACCCTGGAAGCCTTCCAGTTACCTTGCTACTTTGTCTTTTTATTACATCCTCCAAAAATTACTCAATTTGAGTGTGCTGCCTGCTTCCTGACTGACCCTTGTCTTCTCCATCAGCTTGTGATCTCCCCACTCTGTTGCTCTGAGCTAGAGTGACAGGGTGTGCTCCTGCCGGGGGCTGTCTTGTCACAGGTTGTATACCAGCCACAGGAAGTGGAGCCAACAACATCCAAGTCGGAAAAGTTGGACCCGCAGCCTTTTCTGAGGGTGCTGGAGGCCATTGACAACAAGTATCCTCCTGAGGAGCGGGGTGACGTCTTGGTCTTCCTCAGTGGCATGGCAGAGATCAGCACCGTGCTTGAGGCTGCCCAGACCTATGCCAGCCACACCCAGCGCTGGGTGGTGCTGCCGCTGCACAGCGCCCTCTCTGTGGCCGACCAGGACAAGGTATCACACAAAGCCAGGCAGAGTGGGGCAGGTCTGTGCAGGCCAGGAAGGAGAAGGAGGTCAGGGTAGCTACATGCAGGACTGATCTGACTCCACAAACACAGAGATGTGTGTTACACTTATGTAAAGGTGCATAGCCACCTAGCGGCAGGGCCAGGCTGTGAACTTGAGGAGTTTGGCCCTGAGCCCAGGCTCTTAATCACAGGTCGGCAAACTTTCTGTGAAGGGCAGGAGAGTAAATATTTTCAGCTTGGAGGACCACGGGCTCTCTGTCATAGCTGCTTAGCTCTACCCCTGTGGTGTGAAAACAGCCAGAAACTAAACGGGTGAGGTAGTGTTCCTGTAATGCTTTATTTACAAAAACAGGTGGCAGGCTGGATTTGGTCCACAGGCCGTAGTTGTTGACCTCTGCTCCTAACAATTATCTCTTAGAGGTAAGGGGTTTGGGCAAAGGGCCTGTGGGGAAAGAAATATGGAGCAACTGGGAAACAGCATGCATGCAGTGTGGCTGGCGTCCAGACTGTGAAGGGGAAGGCAGGAGAGATGAGACTGGAGCGGTGGGTGGGGCTAGACCACAAGGGACCTTGAAGACCCTTTGTGGTGCCAGGGCTTTGTCCTGAAGGCTCTGGGGAGCCATGGGAGGGTTCTGAGCAAGGCAGTGGGCAGTGCCAGTTTGTTCTTTAGGAGATCCCTTTGGCTGCTGTAGGAGGGATGGATTAGGGGCTGTGAGACCAGAAGCTAGAGAACAGAGAACAGAGGGGAAGCTGGAGCAGGATCTGAGTGGGAAAGGAGAGGCCTGGAACAAGGCAGGGGCTGGAGGTGTGGGGAGGAGGGAAGGAATTCAGGAAATGTTCAGGATGTTCAGGTGTGGCAGAGGGGCTGAGGGAGATAGGGGACTCAGGACAGCCCAGGTGATGTGGTGGGTGGTGAGCCATCTCTGCAGTGCAGACTCTGGAGGAGGAGAGGGTTCAGTGGAAGATGCTGAAGCCGTTTTAGACACTCAGGTGTGGGGTGCCCATGGGACATCCAGAAGGCCACTGGACACATAGGTCAGTCTGGGCTGAGTTAGTCCCTGATGCCACCTCCTCCGTTTTACCTAGGTATTTGATGTGCCACCCCCCGGAGTCCGGAAATGTATCCTCTCCACCAACATTGCTGAGACCTCAGTCACTATTGATGGGATCCGCTTTGTAGTAGATTCTGGTAAGGGCTAGGTCCAGCCACCACCCCCCACACCAAGGACCTAGAAAGAAATGTGGGGTCCAGAGATGTGCAGATGTAGCCAGGGAGCTTTAGACAGAAGCAGGAAGTAGGTGGCATTTGGGGCTGGGGAGCAGTGGCAACATCTTAATTTTTCTCAAACAGTCCAAGCTTTTCTGCCCCAGGGCCTTTGCACTTGCTGTTCTCTCTGCTGAGTGCTGTCTTTCTCCAGATATCTGCAAGCCTCATTCCCTCACTTTATTTCGGGGCCTACATAAATATCTCTCCATCAGAGAGGCCCACATTGTCCCTTCTGTATAAGTGACATACCCCTTCCCCTTCCACTGTTGCTTCCCAAATGAGTGGGAATGAATTATATTTTATATCTGTTGCTCTATTTGTTTTATTTTATGTCTTCCCTTCTAGTAAGTTTGCTGGAAAGTCAGCATGGCATAGTGGTTAGGAAATGCTGAAACCAGCCTGGGTGTGTTCACTGCTGGCTGTGTGACTGGAGTCTTGTCACCAACGCTTTATGTGTCTGCTTATCTGTAAAATGGCAATAATAACAGCACCTCCCTCAGGTTACAAGGATTAAGTGAGTTAATATATTTGGGTGTTTAGGACAGCATCTGGCACAGAGTGAATGCTCAATAAATATTAGCAGTTACATTATTGTATTGACTCTGGGATGCCATCGATGGTAAAACATTCAATAATTTCATGTACCATTAAGAAAATTTTTTATCAGCATAGAAACTTATTTGAATTCAAAATAATATGGCTATATTTAAAATAATGTAATAATTATCTAAAGCAAATTTCATCATTGGTTCTGAAACAGGCCTAAAGGTATCATTCTTTTAAAGTAAAAAATTGCAGTAAGAATGTACAAGGAAACAAAAAAATATAAAAACAAGTCTGCTGTGTATGGGTGGTTTTAACAAAAGGGACACACTACAGTATTGTAACGGAGTCCACGTTATAAAACACGCAGCACCAAGTCCTCTCGCTTTATCAACTCCCCGGAAAATAAGTCAGTTACCACCACTTGGTTAACAGGACAAATTTCCTGAGGGATATGGGTAGTAATTTATTTCCATTCTCTAACTCCTCTCCTCACACCGATTTCTTTTCTTTCCTTTAAGATGAGTTTCATCCTGTTGACAAAATACTTGGTTTTATTTGTGAAATGGAGTAAATAATATCCTGACTGAAGTATTTGATGATTTAGTTGAAGATGCTCAGGGATCAAATTTTTTGAAAAGTCAATTCAGCTAGTTAGCAGAGACCATCAGTGGCTTACAGAAAAAAAAATTTCAGAAATATATGTTTGCTAAACAGATGAAAAGAATAAGCAGTTAAAAATAGGTGCAAAACCCTAGGGATTATTGTGACCTAGACGATCAAAAGCAGACAAGAGACCTGTGATTAAATCCATTTACTTGTAGAGTGAGGTAGTAGGAAGCTCCAAAATAGAATTTGGTTCCCAACAGTGTCCATGGCCAAAGGGCACAGTCACAAGGTCTCCTTCTCTTGTGGAAACTGGAACAGAGAAGTCTTTCGTTGAGTGGCCCTTTTTTTAAAAAAAAGATGACCGGTAAGGTGATCTTAACCCTTGACTTGGTGTTGTCAGCACCATGCTCTCCCAAGTGAGCTAACCGGCCATCCCTATATAGGGATCTGAACCCGTGGCCTTGGTGTTATCAGCACCACACTCTCCCAAGTGAGCCACGGGCTGGCCCTTGAGTGGCCCTTTGCACATATCATCCTGTATATCTGATGGGCCAGACTGCCCAGAAGGATTGGGCTCTTTGTGTGGGTAGCAGAATCTTGTGCCAATCCCACATTTCTAGCCATGAGTATTGTTCCAAATCCACCTGATGATTATTAGCCTAGAGAATTACATCTATCACCCCAGGTACAAGATTATAAGTGTCACTTGACCAAAACTGTCCTTAGCTTATATATAAGATTTTAGCCAATAGTTTTGTGTCAAGCCATAATCTGATTCCAAGATTCATAGCTTCTGCTGTTCCAATCATACTAACAGCTAACAGCATGTTGTTGCAGATTTCTGCAGTCTGCCCAGTCCCAGCAGCTCCACAATACACCACATTGGAGCCCATGCACCCTGACAACAACTGTTGGGCAGCAGCAAATTCATCTTTGATTCCTCCCATCATACACGTGAGGTTTTCAGACTGAGCAGCTCCTATACCACCAGAAACAGGGACATATTTGAAAATGCTCCTATTTTCTCAACTTCTTTGGCCGGTTCTTTTGAAACTATAGTATCAATAGGACTGGAATCTATTAATAATGAGCCTTTCTTCCCTTTTTTTTTAGAATTCCATTTGCTCCAGAACAAGCTTCTATGGTGTTGATATTGGTGGGCAGCATTGTTAATAATTTTGTCAGCTTTTTTTGGCTACATCTGCTGGGGAAGACAATTTCACCTGCATCTTGAAACTCTTTGCACACATCAGGGATGCATCATAAATAGTAGATAGCCATGTTTCATGAAATTTTTTGCCCATTCCCCATTCATTGGACTGGGCAATTGAATTTCCCAGTCCAGTGAATCCATCCAGCGTCTTAGAAGCCATTGATCTGCAGCACACCTCTACAAAGCTGGTGGCTGCTGGCTGCTGCTGGTGGCTCCAGTATAGGAGGCGGAAGGTGGACCCTTGGAGCCATAAGGAAGCCGCCCTGCTGCCCCTACCCCACCTCCCCTTGCTGACTGCTGCCACCTCCTGGCTGGCCCACTGACTGCGAGTGTGCACAGTGGAGTGGGTGGGTGTGCCAAAATTTTTTTAAAGGCTGTCAGTTAAACATTGACATGCCATTGATTTTTAAGGAGTCCTATTTTCAGAGACAATAAAATATGAAAAATGTTGGTCTTATGATGGATGGAATATGGCATTCTGTTCAGTCTTTTGAGACCTAGGCCTTTGGTTTATTTATGAGTGTATCCTTACCACCTAGTACAGTGCCTGACACATAGTAGGTGCTTTAATAAAGATATGTTGGGTGACTGAACCTCTGAAGGAGCAAAGACTTAAGAAAATAATGAAAAGATGTGTGAATGAAGAAACAAAAGAATAAATGAATAAAATGGGTCCAGAATAAGCTCTTGGTTAGGATTAATGGAATGAAGGTGTAAGTGAGGGTGTCAGTGAATGAGTGGATACAACACCAGGTATGTGGATGTTTGCACATGGCTGCTACACACAGATACCCTGCCTTCATTGCTCCCCTTCTCTCCACCCAGGGAAGGTGAAGGAGATGAGCTATGACCCACAAGCCAAACTTCAGCGGCTGCAGGAGTTCTGGATCAGTCAGGCCAGCGCAGAGCAGCGTAAGGGCCGTGCAGGCCGCACAGGCCCTGGAGTCTGCTTTCGTCTCTATGCTGAATCAGACTATGATGCCTTCGCCCCCTACCCTGTCCCAGAAATTCAAAGGGTGGCCCTGGATGCATTGGTATTGCAGGTGAGACTTGGGCAGGGAAGGGACTATATACTGATTCCTGGTGCCAGGGAAGACGCTGGGAGGCATTTAGATAGGACTATTCCCAGGGATTTAGGACCAATTAGGGCAGGGCTGGCCAAATGTCAAAACCCATGTTGAGGGCTGGCTGGTTAGCTCAGTTGGTTAGAGCGTGGTGCTATACCAGCCAGTTGCCAAAGTAAAATAAACAAAACAAAAAACCCATGTTGAGGGAAGAATTGTTTCTCAAATCTGTAGGGTCAAGGGACGAACCCTGTGACTCAATCAGAATTCTTTCAGCTGTTGTAACAGGAAACGGAACAGAAAGTGGCTTTTAAAACCAGGGTTTCTCAATATATTTTGTGATTCTTATTTCATTAGTTATTAGCTTAGGTTAGGCTACTCTGACAAATAGATCCAATCACCAAACGGCTAACATAACAGAATTTTAATTCTCAGGTTGGTAGGCAGTTTCCTTATTCAGGGACCCAGGCACCTTCCCTCTTATGGCTCCATCATCTTCCTGGGGCCTTCTCAGCATCTGCTTGTAGCCAGCTGAGGGGGCTGAGTGGGACAGCGTGAAGATGAGTGCAGGAGTCAGGCCTGTAAGTGGTGCATTTGCCTTCCACTCACCTTCCCTGGTTGCAGCTCAGCCTCATGGCCACTCCTAACTGAGGGAGGCATGGCAGTGTAGTCTCCATGATCAGTGGGGAACAGCTGATGGTGTCTGCCACAGGCTCGCACGCACGTGAGTGTGAGGGTAGCACGGTCCAGCACCTTCCCTGCAAGTGGTGCGTGCTGATATTTTCTATTCTGTTTGATTTCATTTTTTAAAGAAATACTGGTTGTGACCACGACTTGGATTCTGTGACCCACTAGTGACTCATAGCCTACCATTTAAAAAAACACTGACTTGAGTAATACAGAAAATGTGTTTCACATAACAGGAAGCCAAGCCCCAAAGTAGGGAGGTTCCAGATTTGTTCTTGTAAGTGGATCAGTGATGTTATAAAAGACTTAGGTTCTTTCCATCTTTCCAACCTCAGTCAATCAGCAGCTTTCCTAATGATGATGATGATGATGATGATGATAAGAAAACACTTATCTAGTGCTTCCTATGGGCCAAGCACTGTTCTAAGTGTTTTATGTATATAACTGTTTTGATCCTCACAAAAACTATTCAGTAGGTAATCTTATTCTAATTTATGGATGAGGAAAAGGATGTACAGAAAGGTAAAGCAGCTTGCCCCAGATCACACAGCCGGCAAGCGGCAGAGTCAGGATTCCATGTGAGAGCTTCAAAGCCTTCTTCATGAATGTCAGTTCACTCTGGCAGCCGTGGGCATCACCTCTTCTTTCTTTACCCTCTAGAGGCAGAAACAAAGTACTGCCCTTTTTTGTGGGTCTAATTTTTTAAGGTCATGGGAACCATTTTCCAAAGCCCCCAAGCCAGTCTCCTGTCCTATGTGTTAGCAGAACCAGATCACGTGTGTCCTCCCTATGACCACTAATTGTCCAGGGGAGTGGCATTGCCTAACTAGATCAAAGCAGTGATTCTCAGCCCTAACTGCATGTTGGAATCATCTGGAAAGCTTTAAAAAAAAAAAAAAATCTATGCCCTGCCCCCCACTGAGAGCTTCTAGTTTATAAATATTTAATGAGTATTTGGTGATCTCTCAGACAACATCAAGGCTCAGATAGCAGGGAGCAAGGTGAAACAGCTGGTCGCTAGGTGGACAGCCAGAACTTCTAGTGCCTTCAGATCAGAGCCAGGTGAGCAGGCTCTCTGAGCTTTCTTCTCACTCTGTCATGGTCATATGAGATGCTATGCAAGCCTGGGAAGGGTGCCCACTGCCCACCCGGCTGTTGAATTAATTGGGATTCTTTTGATTGAAAATGAGAGAAATACAACTCAAACTATCATAGGCAGAAAAGGGGATTTTATCAATTTGTGTATCCATTGGCAGGGAGGGACTGTGCACTTGTCTAGCGTAGGAGCAATCTAAGGATTTCTCCATCTGCTGTGGGTAAGCTAATTTCTAGGCAGTGTTAAAAATAACCATAGCAGTTCTGGGCTTCCATTGTGGCCACTCACAAACCAAGAGGATGCTGGAACTTCTCTCTCTCAGTTTGCCAAGTCTCAGGGAAGGATTCTAATTGGCCTAGCTCATGTCATGTGCTCATTCCTTAGGCAGTTGCTATGACTGGGGGCTGAGGAACATTGGTCCAGCTTGATCAGATACTCCTCCACAGTCAGGGTCTGGGAGAAGATGGACTGGGCAGACAGAGACAGAGATAGACGATTGCCCCCCTCCTCTACCTCTGTACAATGGACCTTGACATTGGGAGTTTTAAAGTACCGTGATTTTGTGATCCCCAACCATCCCCACATCCAGTGCTCCACAGTGGCTCATGTGTTCCCTGATCCTGGGAAGGTTTGGTTCTCATTCCAGATGAAGAGCATGAGTGTGGGAGATCCCCGAACCTTCCCCTTCATTGAGCCCCCACCACCAGCCAGCCTGGAAACTGCCATCCTCTACCTCCGGGACCAGGGGGCCCTGGACAACTCAGAGGCTCTCACCCCCATCGGGTCCCTGCTGGCCCAGCTGCCCGTGGATGTCGTGATTGGTGAGGACCCCCCTCTGGGCGATCACACAGGACACCCAGAGCTAGTGCAGGGCACTGCTCACTCTCTTGAGTGATGCGAAGGCAAGTCTGTTCCTTCCCTGGACCCAGTTCATTCATTCACAAGTCCTCTGTGCCAGGTACTGGGGATACAGCAGTGGACAAACAGATATAAATCTCTGCCCTTGGGAGCTGACGTTCTAGTGGGGAAGACCAGCAATAAATCAGGAAAATAAGTACAATACATGGTAGATCATATAGTGCTAAGTGTTTTGGAGAAAAGATAAAAGCAAGAGAGGGTGCATAGGAAGTGTTGGGGTGGTTGGGCAATTGCCATTTATGATACAGACCTCAGGCAGGCTTCATCGGGCAGGTAACATTGGTGCAGAGAAATGGAGATGAGGGGTGGGAGCCCTCAAATAGGTAGGTACCTCAAATGCTTGCCAATAGAAATATAAAAATGTAATGTAAGCCGCATATGTAATTTAAAACTTTCTAGTAACTATGTTAAAAAATTAAAAGAAATAGGTGTAATTAATTGTGATAATGTATCTTATTTAACTAAATATATCCAAAACATTATAGTTTCAATGTATAATCAACATAAAAAATTATTGTGGTATTTTATATTATTTTTTCATACAAGTCTTGGAAGTCTGGTGTGTGTGAGGTACTCCAAAAAGTTCATGGGAAGATTTGTATTATCTTTCACTTCTGTTTTTCCATGAAAGTTTTGAAGTACCTTTGTATTTTATACTCACAGCATATCTCAATTTCAACTAGCCACATTTCAAGGGCTCAGTAGCCACATGTAGCCAGTGGCTGCTGTATTGAACGGTGCAGATGTAGTAGAAGGGCACTCCGGGCAAAGAAAATAGTTAGTATAAAAGCCCTGTGGTGTGTGAGGGGAACACTAAGAAGGCCAGTATGGCTTGAGCGGAGAAAGTAGGAAGTGTTACCCGACAGTCCCATCATTCGTTTATTCATTTGTTAAACATTTTTTGAGTACCTGCTCAGTGAAGAAAACAAAACTCCTGCCCTTGTGGAGCTCACATGTAATGGGAGAGACAGTGAACAAGATAAGTGAGTCAAACGTATGTCATGTCAGCTGGTGATCCATGCTGAGGGGAAAGCAAAGCAGGAAGCAGGGATGGAGGTAGGGGGACCGGGAGCAATATTAAATGGCAGTCAGGGCCTCCTCACTGAGACAATGACGTCTGAACAGAGGCCTGAGGAGTGAAGGGGAGCCTGGATCAGGTGAGGAGCTTTGAACTGGAAGGGAGACTGAAGTGTTTAAGTGGAACTGAGTTTTGTGTGCCTGAAGGTGGCCAGAAAATGAAGGAATCGGCTTGACAATTTGTTAAGGGCCAGGAAAGGCCAGGTCCACAGAGCCCAATGGAAGCCACACCATTTCCAGTTCCTGGCCCTCCTGTTCAGGTCTTCAGTGACCAGTCACAGATGGATGTGGTGCTCCTTGTCCCCACAGTGTGTGTAACGAGGAATGGGGGGGCGTTTATCCTGAGGGATTCAGGGCCAGTAGACCCTCTGGTCCTGTTGTCCTCGCCACTGACCTGTGACACACCATTAGTGTCTTAGGTTGCTTACTTGAGACTTCAGATGCCACCACTAGATATTAGGCGTGGCTGGAGGTATCTGGCTTGCAAGGCTGCTTCAGAGAACATGATGTGGAGCACCCTGATTTCGAATGAGTGACATAAAAGGCAAGCTCTCCCACTCGGATACCCCAGCATTTGGTGTGTTTATGGGGTACCCGAGACCCCCTGAATGCAGGAATCCTGGGTTTTCCATAGCTCAGACCCATCCCCCTCTCTCCTGTACACAGCCTGGCCCTGGCTGTGCCCTCGCACCCCTCTCTTGCAGTCATCAGGATATCATGACTCAGTTGCCACTTCCTCTTGCTCATTCTTTTTTTTTTTTTTTTGTCTTTTTTCCGTGTCCGGCAACGGATCTCAACCCTCAGTGTCGCCCCCGTACCGGACCGGGACCGGCAACGGG